CCACAAACTAAGAGGAGTCAGATGTCAAAGAAAAAGTATACTTCCCATATTCTTTTTTTCTGACACTATGAAAACATTTTCAGGGTAGTACAGCATGAGATGTCAAGACAGGAAGAACAAACATACAATTCTGCACATCACAAAGCTTAAGGGTGGGTTTAGAGATAACAGAGAGTCGTTTAACAACCACTATGAACCTCCAGCAGGACAAATACAAAAGGAACCACAGCTAGACATGCACAATAAACCACTGAAAACCAAACACAAAAAGAAAAGTTTCAAAACAGCTTGAGACAAAAGGCAAACTGCCTTTGAACACACCACCTTTAGACCCCTTTAGGCAACTGTGGCCCAGGCCTGGGCATGTGTCCTGCGGAGTCCAGCTGATACACCCACCCACAGCAGCACACTCTGTAAATCGCACTCCAAAGATCCCTGCCCTCGGAATTCCCCGCCCAAACAGCCTCAGGCCTATTCCCAGGCCTCACCGCCCTCTCTCCACAGGCCCTGTGTACACCAGGCCTGAGGAGTGTGCCTGGAGCTCCAGGGTGTGCTGCTTATTTAAGCATGCACAGGCCCTCTCACTTCACGAAAGACCCAAGGGTGGGACAGGAAAGAGCCTTGGGTTGAGGGCTTCGATGTTTGTACTTTTTACCCAGGAAATAAGTAAGGGTGAGCCTGCCTTCAGTGGAGCAAATATTAGACTGAAACTTATTTCCCAATATAAGTGATGGAAGCCTTAAGACTATAAATTAAGTTCTGGAAAAGATGAAGAAAACAAATGCAGACTAGAGTTCTGCACCTCAGAAAGCACCTCAAAATGAAAGAAAACATACCTCAAACATGCAGGACGAGATCCTCCGTCGCCCCACGACCGGCAGGTGAGCCGAGGTGAGGTGGGGAGAGGCCGGGCGGAGGCCCAGGCCAGGCGCGCAGGATGCCGGGTCCCACCCCGCCGTTTCCACGTGTTGCTCAGCCACGGCAGACAGAGGCGGCTCCTCCAGATCAGGTGCCGGATGGTGACAAAGGAGAGGACAGCGAGGAAAGCAGGAAGCTTAAAAGGCAGCCCGCCCTAAAGCCTCGGAGAGCGCGCCTCGCCTCCAGGCCTCGCCCCACGTTCCGTTCCGCATGCGCCCTGGCCTCCTGGGCCCGCCCACCTGGCGACACCATAGCAACCGCGATATAACCCCGGCTTCCTCAAGGTGGTAGACAGCTTCTTTAACCGACAGTGGCACGAGCATTATGAATGACCAGCTGATTGATAGAAGACTTTGAGATCTGGGAGAATGAGGAGCAGAAGCGGAACCCGTGCGTGGCATCAGGAAAATCATCGACCCCTGAAACCACGTATGGATCCTGCCCTTCCCCAGCCTGCGTGGCAGCGGCTCCTGGGGGGACACTGAGGGCTATGGGGCCCAGCACAGCCAGCACGTCACACCCTGTAAGGGAAGTATCCATTACAGAGAAGATGTGAGTGTAGATGAAGTAAAAGCTTTGGCTACTCTGATGACGTACAATCTGCTGTGGTTTACGTGCCATTTGAGGTTGCCAAAAGCTGGTGTTAAGATCACTCAAGAACCACATCGATACTGAATTGGAAAAGATCACAAGGAAGTTCACCATGTAATTACCAAAAAAGGAGACTCAGTAAATCTTGATGTGTCTGCCCTAGACAGGCACAGGTGAGTGAGAGATGTCCTGGATTGCTGATACTTATGTCAGCACCATAGGGACCTTAGGTAGTAACATGCCCACAGTTACTGGTAAACCCATCAGCCAGGGTGGTATCCACAGACTTGACTCTGCTACTGGTCATGGTGTTTTACATGGGATTGAAAACTTCCTCAATGAAGCTTCTTACATGAGCATTTTAGGCATGACACAAGGGTTTAGAGATAAAATATTTGTTATTCAGGGATTTGGCAATGATGGCCTGCCCTCTGAGATATTTACATTGTATCAGTGCTAAATGTGTTGATGTTGGTGAATCTAATGGGAACATATGAAATTCAGGTGGCATTGACCAAAAGGAACTAGAAGACTTCACATTGCAGCATGGGTTAATCCTGGGCTTCCCCAAGCAAAGCCCTATGAAGGAAGCACCCTGGAAGTAGACCATGACATACTGATCCCCACTGCCAATGAGAAGCAGTTGACCAAATCCAGTGCACTCAGAGTCAAAGCTGGATCATTATGGAAGTTTCCAGTGGACCAACAACTTCAGAATCTGATAAGAGTTTTCTGGAGAGGAACATTATGGTTATTTCTGATCTCTACCTGAATGCTGAAGGAGTGGCTGAAGAATATAATCATGTCAGCTATGACCATTGGACCTTCAAATATGACAGATTCTAACTACCACTTACTCATGTTTGTTCAAGAGAGTTTAGAAAGAAAATTTGAAAGCACGGTACAAGTATTCCTGTTGTACCCACAGTGGGTTCCAAAACAGAGTATCAGGTGCATCCAAGAAAAAACATTACGTATTTTGGTTTAGTTTACACTACGGAATTTTCTGCCAGGCAAATCATGCCCACAGCTACAAAGTATAACCTAGGATTAGCAGCTTCTGTCAATACCACTGAGAAAGTCTTTGGGGCATACAGTGAAGCTGGTTTACTTCTTGACTACCCTCTTTACCTATAATTTCTGCAAACCTATCAGAAGCTCTATAACCACAGAAATCTTTTTCTCTTATAGACATCATTCTCAGCAAGTCAGTCCAAATCAGCCCCTTATTTAAGAAGAAAGAAATTAAGATTAGGAGATCATATACAGGTTGACAAGTGTGAAAGTAGAAATAACCTGTTTCAGAGGGCCATTTGGCATATTTTACCTTTAAATAAAAAGTCTCTATTAATCTATGTTCCCTTGCTCCATAGCTTGTTCCCAACATGTTAGTTATGCATTGTTTGAGCTGAGAAATCAGTTGCTTGCAATATTTGGCTCTGATCAAGTCTAAGATGGAACTGTTATAACTTTGATGCATTTAAAATCTGGGTGTGTAGCATTTTCAGAAGGAGGCATGGACCTAAAATGACCATACACATCAGCAAAATAACTCAATTTCACAGGCTGCAAACAAAAATAACAGCTGTTTCTTTTTTTGCATTTATTCTTTTAGAATGAAATACATACATGTTGCTGTAATAAAATTATTCTTAATCACTTAACAAGCCTAACCTTGAAGCAGTGAGTGCTTGTAAACACAAATTTTAAAAGCTAGTATTTTTGACATAGAACAGTATCATTTATAGCTCATCTGTTCTGTATTGTTATCCAGCAAACATAAAAGGCTAGATGGATAATTATCTTCATAACTGACAATGATAGAGGCTATTTTTGTTACGGCTATCTGAATTTGCTAAATGTAAACATGACATGTAGTCCCAATAATTCAGTAACCTCCTTATTATGTTAGTTCATTTTTCATTTCTCTAATGATCTACTGTGTCGAATAACAGAACAATAATTCAAGTAGAGTGACTCAGAAAAGAACTACCTCATCTCCTTGTCTGGAGTCTGGCTGACAGCCCTAAGCATTGCCAGTGTCCCCAGCTCTGCCTGATTTTGTATCCCTTTTCTTTAGCAGCCTCACATGTGCTCATAAGCT